TCTTCTCTAAGAACTGCATTGTATTGGATTGTCATACTGTCCCCCACGATGTAAGATAACTATGTGTCAGTTAAAATAAAGAAACCTTCCCCAGGTGATTAACATACACTGCCTTCTAGAAGTGTAAGTCCCACGTTTAAAAGTGTGAGAGTGGCTAAATTATATGCTGGGCATTCATGAGGGAACTGGCTTCAATCCCTAGCACCCAAATAAATAGTAAATAAAGTACATTTTGCTATCTTTCCCATGTGGAGGCCATATCTGCTCAGTGTTATGGTGGCATCCTGCCTTTGCCTTGGCTCCTGAGTGCTGGGACTATAGACACCTGGTGTGGTGGTTTGAATAGGTTTGGCCCCCATTGATTTATTTATGTGTTTGAATGCTTGGTCATAGGAAATGGCCCTATTTAGGAGGTGTGGCCTTGTTGGAGGAGGTGTGGCCTTTCTAGAGGAGGTGTGGCCTTTCTAGAGGAGGTGAGGCCTTGTTGGAGGAGGTGTGGCCTTTCTAGAGGAGGTGTGGCCTTTCTAGAGGAGGTGAGGCCTTGTTGGAGGAGGTGTGGCCTTTCTAGAGGAGGTGAGGCCTTGTTGGAGGCATCACTGTGTAGGTAGGCTTTGAGTTCTCCTATGGTCAGGTTCCACCCAGTGTAGACTCTACTCTCCTCTGCTGCCTTCGGATCAAGATGTAGAACTCTCAGCTTTTTCTCCAGACCCATGTCTACCTCGATGCTGCCGTGCTTCCCACCATGATGATAATGGACTGAATGTCTGAAACTGTCAGCCAGCCCCAACTAATTGTTGTCCTTTATAAGAGTTGTCTTGGTCATGGAGTCTCTTCGCAGCACTAAGACCCTAAGTAAGACCCCTTCATGACATGCCTTCATCTTGATATTTCCAGTCACGTTCTCAGTAAACCTAGAGTGTAGTTAGCATAGTAAGAAGAGACTTGCTTCATGGGGGAAATAGTAACATCCAGGGATAGGTTTTGTCTCATTTCTCAGCTGTTCTTAAACTTAGGTCCATTTAGGGATCACTGGGAGTGTTTTGAAATGTGTGTCTTCTAACCCATCCCATTTAATTTAGACTATTTTGAGGGTGAAGCCAGAACTTTCTTGAGTGAGTTTTTCAGGGGTTTGAGTCTGTCCCAAAATCCAGGATCTGTCTGTGAGTTGAAAGACAGGAGATTGTAGCTAGCTGGAGTCAGTGAAGGCCTCGGCAGAATCCTGAGTCTATTCTTCCACCTCTGGACACAACGCTGTGGCTCCTCCCTCCACTCTGGTACTTGCTGATCTCTGGGTGCTGATTCCTGGGTTCCTTGAGCTGGCACGTGGCTGCCCAGGCATTTTTGTGCAACCTTGTTTGATGAGGAAGTGTCTGCCTGGGACTCTCTGCGTGCCACCATGACAGTGAGTTCTTGCCAATGACGACGAGGTGTTGCCGTTAAGCTTGTAGATCCAACAACTGGAGCAGATACTGCATCTTACTTTGGATGAAGCCTTGGGAATCTTCGGGATGTTTCCCCCAGTGTTACCCAGTTCCCCCTTGGATGGGTGGGAGGTGGTGGGCAAGCAGCTTCTTAAACATTCGTCATGATTCCCTGGCTTCCAGGGATGGAGAGAGCATTTATCTGTGTCTCAGAGCAGAATGGGCGGGCAGTCGCAGGCGAGAGATTCCCCCACCTTCATCCCCAGGGCAGCTCAGCAGCCCTTCACTGCCAGTGGGAGGAGGCTCACACAGCTAGAGCAGAGGGCTGACGTCCTTGAAACCTGATCTACCCTTGTCATTACTTGTGGCTTAGAGTCCAAGTTGTTCCCCCATCCCACTTCACTCATAATTCAAGATGGGGCTCCAGAGGCTTCTGAGATGTGGTTTGGGGTGAGAGAGAGTAGTAATTTAAGAGTAGCCCTGGACCCTGGTGTTTGCATCTTGTAATTAGCTCGGCTGAGGGGCCAGTGGCTGTTCTGCGGTCTGCTCACCCTGTTTACATGGAATTCTCCCGGTCACTGTCTGGCACGGTTTATTGTCTGTATTTTATAGGGAAGGTCTTGTCTGCAGTCCGTAGTGCTAATACTACAGTTAAATTGCAGTGGCTCGTGCTTTTGCAATTAGAGTGGGCAGCTTCTAGGAGACCTGAAAGCCTTTGGCTCCACATGCCCCTGGAACTCCAGGCCACAGTGAAGCTGTGGAGACAAAGGCTTGCCTCTGCCACCCAGCAGACGCTGCATCTTTGCCCCTTAGGCATTCTCTCCTTACTCCCAGACAGTGATGGCTCCGTGTGGAGTTTGCTTTCTGAATGACAGAACCTATCTTTCTTAACACAATAGGGAATTCCTTAAACGAGTTTTCAGAAGTCGTTATAAAGTTTAGACGGTGCATAAGTAAGCGCCAGTCTGCACACTCAAGGGTAACTCTTATTCATTTACTTTTGCAGAACTTGGGGTGGTAGTGAAAGCCCCATACAAGCTCAGAAAATGTTCTACCACTGTCTCAGCCCCTTAAAGGCAATTTCTCAGACTTTATATTTCATGTGTAAATGATGGCAATGGAGCCTTTTTTTAAGTCTGTCACTGAGATTTGGGGCTCTTTTTAAATGGCTTTCCTAGCCCTATCTTTTTCCTTATAAACAGGAAACTGGACAAACTGAATTTACCTCAGAGATGTTAAGTTAAATTTGGACAACAGGCTAGAGTGCTCTTCCCAAATCTAAGATATTTCTTTTTAAATTTTCTTTTAATAAAACAAATTATTTTCTGCATATGGTGTTTTGCCTGCATGTATATCTGTGTACCATGTGTACTTGGTGCCTGTGAAACCATAGACTCCATCAGAGCCCCTGGAACTGGAATTATAGACCATTGTGGGCCACCATGTAGGTGCTGGGAATCAAACTGGGTCCTCTGTTAGAGCAGTTAGTGCTCTTAACCCCTGAGCCATTCTCTTGAGCTAAGATATTTCTTAAGGCAGTCTTCTAGAATGGTTGATCATGTCACTGTTAATCCTTAGGTAAATTTACTAACTTTTCTTATCTAAGATTTTGTCTTTTCATTGACTAGAGATGGCCCCATGTGGTGGGGGCTTCCACTGGTCTCCTGGAGGATATTGGTGTGAGTTTTGGAGCTGCAGGCTCAGGTTGTGGGAGCAGGTTCTTGATGGACTCCCAGACTATGAGAACAGGTTCTCAATGGACTCCCAGATTATGGGAACAGGTTCTCAATGGACTCCCAGACTATGGGAGTGGGTTCTCAATGGACTCCCAGGCTATGGGAACGGGTTCTCAATGGACTTCCAGGCTATGGGAATGGGTTCTCAATGGACTCCCAGGCTATGGGAACAGGTTCTCAATGGACTCCCAGGCTATGGGAACAGGTTCTCAATGGACTCCCAGATAGATGTGAGTTCTCAGACAGGCTCTCAGGTTATAAGAAATTGGGTTTTCTGTCTATCTCTTAGGAACTTCATTGATGTGATTTGATTTCCAATGTTGGTGGCTACCTTGGTATATATTTTCTCTAATAGAAATCAGGAAGCCAGGAAGGGTCTGCCATGGTAGGAGTTTACTGACCCAGTATTTGGAGCTCCCTGCTGTGTTTTCTTTCTCTCTCCCTCCCCCTTCTTTCTTTCTTTCTTTCTTTCTTTCTTTCTTTCTTTCTTTCTTTCTTTCTTCTTTTTTTTTTTTTGGTTTTTTGAGACAGGGTTTCTCTGTGTAGCCCTGGCTGTCCTGGAACTCACTCTGTAGACCAGGCTAGCCTCAAACTCAGAAATCTGCCTGCCTCTGCCTCCCAAGTGCTGGGATTAAAGGTGTGCGCCAACACCGCCCGGCACCTGCTGTGTTTTCTAAAATGTGTTTCTGTGTTGTGTTTTGCATTTCTGAGATGGAACCAAGGGTGTTGAACACGGTAGGCTAGCATCCCCACTGCACGAAAATCTTAGCTATTCTTGCTACTTTAGTAGTATGTTTTCTTAGTGGTTTTAATGTTTGTGTTCAGACAGTTTCATTTGGCATGTATTATAGTCCTGCAATGTAAGCTCACAGGCACATGAAGAAAAAAACCCACCTCTGTCATATGAGTTTGCATCCTGTATGTTAAGAAATGGATCTGAAATGACACATGTAGGACAAAGACATCCAGATCAGCACAGCTGTGCAGAAAAGATGTCATGGGCCACACGGGCAGAGCATTCCTGTGTGCCAGGGAAATTCCACACTGAGATCCTTCCCTGGGTTAACTCTGTGTCTTCACTGTGTTATAAGGGTGGGGCCGTTGGCAGAACATTCCCAATCTAAAAAACAATTTCTGAAAGTCTGAAAGGATGTCAAATCTGCAATTTTCTGAATGTGTCTGTGATGATAAGTAGGAAATTCTACGCCTAGCCTCATGCGGTGTGTTACAGCCAGAGCATGAGGGACTGCAAATCACTGTCTAAAGTTACAGTCCACAGGCAGTCTGTATCACGGGTGTATGAAACACACATGAAATTCCGTGTTTAGACTTGAGTCCGGTCCTCGGGACTTCTCGTTTCTTATGTAAAACGGTCAAGCGCCTGGTTGTGGTGACATACACCTGTAATCACCCAGGAGGCAGAGGGAGGAGGATCTCAATGATCCTATACTAACTCTCACCCCCAGAAAAGGAAAAGAAAAAAAACAAACCCAAACCCTGAAATCTTAAGCATTATTTATTTAAATAGGAGGAACTCAGATCACCTCTGTTTTTTATAGCAAGAAATACTGAGAGTCAGTTAATCGTGACACACACACACAGACACACAGACACACACACACGTATGTCTAACCCCTGTCCTTGAGTAACTCATTGGAAGAGGGTGAGGGGTACTGTTAGTGTTATTTTCCCCCAGATTTATCACTGGTGTCTTGTAGGTGAGCAAGGTGACTTACCCAAGGCCATAGTGGCACAGACTAGACCAGAACACTGGCCCTATCTCTCATTGCTGCTTGGGGCCCTCACACAGCACACATCTTAAGAATACACTTTTGTCTTTCAGAACCTGGCAGTTGGGGCAGGAGCTGTCGGATCTCTGCAGCTGACTTACATCTCGAAGGTAATGTTGGTTTGGCACGCTGGGAAGCCATGTTCTTGAAACAGGTTTAATGTCTAAGCACGGGGAAGTTCTACATGCCGGAGGTGTGAGCCTTTGGGGGGGCATTCACAGCCATGGCCATCCATGTTTCCCTCTTCCTGGCATCTACTGTTTTGTGGTGGTGGTTGGCAGTGGAGAGGGTGGCCCACAGCCTCTTAATCTTTGGATCTGCCAGCTAGTCACCGCTCCAGACCTGTAGGAATATTTGAGATACTCTCCAAAGACAAAAGGTTTACTTTGGGTCGGTGTGTTCGAGGTCTTGGTCATGATTTTTCCGGTGGCGAATTATGTCAGAAGTGGTGGTGGGCAGCTTCTTACTTCATGGCTAGGAAGTAAATTATAGAGGGACTGGATACCTATAATCTCTCCTATGGGTATCCCTAATCACTTAAGGACTTCTCACGGAGCCCTGCCTCCTAAGAGTTCCAGCTGTTAACCACTGGCCTTTGGGAAGCATGTCACATCTGAAATAAAGTACCATGTAGGATGGAACCTCTTTTTTGTAATTGGAACAAAAAGGACACAGGGACAGTGACCCTGATCCAGGAGAGGATTCTCTCAAAGCATACAGTTAATGAGCAGCAGCTAAGAAAAGGCTCCGCCCCGCTGGAATGTTACCAATTCTCCAGACAGAATGCTTAGGGACGGAGGCCTGAAAACATCAACCCTTCGAAGGCCCTAAGATATGCTAGGACCACACCCAACATCTGCGTACCTTCTGGGGATCATAGCAGGTCCCTGGCAGTCTGTCCCCTCACCCAACATTCCTGTAGGGGGAAGAGCAACTCTTGTTCTTCACTGAGACTTGGGGGTAGAGCCAGTCAGAAATCCTCACAAAAAAAAAAACTGCTGAATTCAGCTGCTTTTAGCAGCCCCTCCCTGGGGCAGCTACTGCTGCTGACCCATGATGCAGCCCTGATTTAAAAAAAAAAAAAAAAAAAGCCAGGGGATTTAGATCCTCTTCAGAAAGCAGGAGGGAAGAAGCCAGATGGCACCCAGCCAGATCCAAAGCCGCAGAAGTCCTGTCCCTCATGCCTGTCCACATAGGGGTTGTGGCTTTCTTCCCTGGCTCCTCCCACCCAAGGGACTATGAGGACCTAGAGGCTAGGGGTTGAGCTAAGTAGCTCCCGAGTGCATCTGGTCACAGATTTAAGATCTGTGAAAAGCTCCTACTGAAGACGGGGATCAAGAGATGTCCTGAGAGGAGTGGCCATCTTCGGCTGGACGGGCAGGCTCATCCCATGCCTGCCAGCTGCACATCTCGGTGCAGAGAGAGAAGATGCTGGGCAGTGGTTGAGCTGATGAGAGAGGAGATGATGACCTCAGGGGAAGAGCAGTGGTTAAAGAGCGGCTTTTGCTAGCACAGCTGCAGGCAATTTGTGCATGCCTTTTGATAAGAAATGTGGCGGCCTCCCCTGGCCAGGGCAGCTCAGCCCAGCCCCCGCCCCCACAGGGGGCCCTTTCTTCTCATCTGCTGAGAGCTCTCATTTGGTCAGTTCTCCCAGAAGGAGAATAGAGAGGGGGCTGGGGGTGGGGCCGCAGAAAACCCCCATCAAAGATGAAAACTGAAACCGTCTCCTGTGTGAGGGGTTGGGGAAGCTTTTTTTTTTTTTTGGCCAGTGAATATAATCTCCTGCTGAATCATGGTTTATAAATGCAGCTCAGAGGAGGCTTTCAGGATCCTCTGCCTCGTTGGCTGCTGCCTCATTTAGAAAGGATGACCTGACTTTCCGCCCTTCCTGAGACAGGCGAGCCCGCACGGGTCTTTTAAAAACCCACAACTGCCACTGAGTTAGGTCACGATCGATGAATACCTTAACTCCAGCTGACTCACTGCCAGAACAACCCAGGTCCTTTTCTGTCTGTCTGCCTGTCTGTCTGTCTGTTTTTGTTTGTTTTTTTGTTTGTTTTGTCATCCTTAGCTTACTCCCAGGGTCAAGTGTTTGCACAGTGTGAGACAGACTGGTTTGTTTTGTCCCTGATCTCTGGAAGGCTAGTTTATGGAAGATGGGACTGGTATGGTGGGGGTGGAGTGGGGGTGAAGAGGAGGATAAGGGGTGGGGAGGGGGGGGGGAGGGGGTGACAAAAGAACCAGTCTGGTTGGGCAAATTGGAAAATAACTGAACCTGGCCTATGGTATTACGTTTACACTATAGCTCTCTGTCCCTGTCCTACTGGACCTATTTTGTGAGGGCTTCTGATAGATAACAGGTCCTCCAAAAATGCTGGCTATTAACTATTTGTGTGTTGTGGGCCAGGTGTGGAGGGATATGGGTACTGTAGAGCAGTTGGGTCAACCTGCAGGTCGTGACTCCTTGAGGTGTTGAATGACCCTTTCACAGGGGTCACCGAAGACCACAGGAAAACACAGAGATTTATGTTACGGTTGATAACTGTAGCAAAATTACAATTAGGAAGTAGCAAGAAAGTAATTTTATGGTTGGGTGGTACCATAGCACGAAGAACTGTATTTAAGGGCCTCAGCATTCGGAAAGTTGAGAACCACTGTTCTAGAGAGTCCACTGAAAAGCATTGACGGATTTTTCAGATAAATATGGTCACATGCGCACCAGTTTGAAAGGCCTCCGGTGATTGTGTTGATGGCTTCTTACTTTGTTGTGGGACACTCTCTCCCCAGACACCGGAGCATGTTTTTTAGTTCTCCCAGGCTTTCTTCTGCTCTAGTCTGGGGTGCAGGAGAGGCCTCACTTCCGGCCAACGACAGACACAGGGTGTGGCTGGCCCTCGCAGTGTCCCGATGCCTGGGTTCTTTACCGCGTGTGATAATCGAAAGCTGCCAAGTGGCTCTTCTGCGTCACTCGTGGGGGCCCATGGGCAACTCTCTTCTTCACACCCCAACACTCTCTTGCTGTTGGCGTGCTCACAGGACCTGCCAGTCGACCACTGTCGGGCAGTGACTCAATTGTGGCCACCTTGTGGTATGAGGATGTTTGTGCCTAGGTGCCCTCACTTGAGTCAGACTGTTGGATGTCCTCACCCACCTGTGGCCACACTGCTTCCTGTAGGGCCTATGTTCTTCCTGTGTTTGAAGATGGCTGCTTATAGCCTGACACTGTCACCAACAGGTAGAAAGTAAATGGAGGGGGAGGGGCTGTGTAAGCCTCTGGGGGCAGGCTGTCAGGGACAGAGGCCAAAGTCAGAGTTCTGCAACAGCCTTTCTCTGTGGACATAGCCACAGGTGGACAAATTAATTTTCCACGCCTGCTGCCCTGTGTGAGAACATTTACCTTTTCACGCTGGCGTTACTAAGGGAGAAACTCATCTGTGGAGATTCTCAAGCCGGGTCTAAAGCTAATCAGGACAGAACTGGGATCAATCTCAGTAGTCTGGCAATGAATTGCTTTGCCCAACAACATTTCCATGCTAAGCCATGAGACTGGGCACACTGTAGATGCACACGCATATGGACCACCTCACTATAAAGTGTGCACACGGATATGAACAAGAAGAAAGCCATGTGCTGCCTTTGGAAGCTCTGGTTCTCACAAGAATCGCATGGGTTGCATTTTCCCAGGCTGGCTAATCTACACAGTGAGCAGGATCATCTGTAATCCATGTAGGGTGAAAGGGTCAGCCGGTGGCACTCTGTCCAGCCGGTGATAAACATGAACCTCTCCAAGAAAGGGTGACGCTCCAGACAAAGTAGAGGGGGTCTCAGGAACTAAGCTTTACAACACCATCAAAATTGCCAGCTGGATGAGAAGGAAGCTGGGAGGTAGGTGGGTTTCCCCCGGGACCAGAAAAGAGCAGTCAGGTGACACTTAGGGTTAATGCAGGAGCCCCGCCCCGCCCAGCTCCGCCTGCCCCGCCCAGTCCGGCCCCGCCCCTTCCCCACCCCGGCCCAGCCCAGCCCAGGCAAAGGACTGGAGGTTGCCTGGGAACACATGCTGAGTGTCGGTCACAGCCAGGAAATGAGTAGCTGCAGATCATCAGCAACTGGCTTGGACGTGTACCCCAAGAAGGCAAGGTAGTTCAGGGCCAGGACTGGCAGCCTCCTAAATGCTACCTGTGAAGCATGTAGGCATGACTAGGTCTGGTTGTCTCTCTGAGCTCAGGCTTGTGGGCTCCTCTTTGTGTTCTTCAGAACTTACTTAGGCTACCTGGCGTCCGCCTCACTTCAGGATTTCCTCATCAATACAGTGGAATGAACGCGTACACATCTACATAGTCTCTCTCTCCTTCCCTTGGTGATATTCTGGGCAGCTATGGGATTCTGCTAGTAGGAAGGTCATCAGCAGATTCAGTCCTTCATCCTTGCACCTTCAGAAACAGGGGTCATGTGACATCTTGGGTTTTAAATACTTGTCACTGAGGTTGATGTAATGTTATACAGACATTTAATTATTAACACTGAAAATGCCATGCATGGTTTTATTTTTTTTTAACGTTTGAAGCTAGGCAGTTTTTTTAGGTCATATTTTAAATTATTTATTATTATTATTGTATTGTGTGGTATGTGATTTATTATGTGAGTATGTGATTTGTTTTAAGATGGGGTCCACCCATGTAACCCAGGCTAGCCTGAAATTGCTGTGTAGCCTAGGATGACCTGAAAGTCAAGATCCTTTTGTGTCAGCCTCCCAAGTGCTGGGATTACAGATATATACTGCCTTACCTGGCATAACAGCCCCTCCTCCATGAGTAGGCTCTACATGACGGTGTAGCCAGGTCCCTTGCCTGCACCGATATATTTGATGCTTCTGTTAACTCTACGGGAAGATGACTCTGTGATTCCTTTCTAGACAGAACATCTAATGGAGGTCACACACTTACGATTTGAGACTGATTCCAAAACAAACCTCTTCTATTTTATCCTTTTGATATTTGATAGGGTGTCACCTCAGTTCCTGGTTGAGTATTTGGGGCAATGTTATTTTGGCTAAGAAGTCAAGGCAGGTCTCTAGGAAGACTTTAGGGTCAAGAGCAGGAGCCTAGAGACCCGTGTGCCAATCATGATTAGATCTTAGCAACTGGGAGCCTCAAAGAGACATCACTTTCACCTCAAGACTTTAACCCCTGCTTCTACTTCCAAGTCTCAGAGTCCAGAAGGAGAATAAGAAGACCTGGGAAAGCTAGGAAGGGGACTGAGAGACCAGTGTCCAGGGCAGGAGGGGGACTGTATGTGGATGGGTTCTGTGGTAGGTGCTGCATTTCTAGTGAGTGGGACGGGTGGAGTTCTCCAGTATGGCTGGACCAGCATCCATTTGGTGGATAATCACCAGATCTTTGTAGGTGGTGATGGAGCATGTGCCTGAGTGACGTGTGCTCCTATGCAGATACTCAGCAAATACCCATACAAGGGGCAGGACTTTAAAAGCTAGGTGTCATATACCAGTGGTCCCATCTCCGCAGGTCCTGCTCTTGAATATACCCAGGTGAGCTCACTCATCTGTCAGCTGCTCTTTGGATTGCTGGAGAGATGCCTTTGTTCATGGCCAGCATAGATAGCTAGGCCTTCGGACAGCATATCTAAATGCAGGAGTGCCTGCCGTCCCCTTCTGCTTTGATTAGAGTTTGAACGTACTAAGCACCTTCAGTTGGGAGACTGTTCCGGGAAAGAGGTTAGCTCGTGAGAACATAGTAGAAGCCTGATACAATGAACGACACTCTGCTAGATCTGGTGGCTCAGAGAAAATCTTGTCTGGGCCCAGTGGCTTTTAGAGCGTTCTTGCAGAGACAAAAGTTAGTACAGGCACCGGGATACCAGTTACGTGGATGGCAGAAGTCCTGCTACGGAAGGGTATCGTGAGCACCTAAGAGAGTGGTTCTCGACCTGAGGCTTGTGACCCCTTTGGGAGCCGAATGGCCCTTTCACAGGGGTCCCCTAACACCATCCAGTACATCAGATTTACATCATAATTCCTAACAGTATGAATTACTAGCAGTGAAATAAATTTGTTGTCACCACAACAGGAGGAACTGGACACTAAAGGGTTGTTATGTTAGGAAGGGTGAGAGGGGGCTGGAGAGATGGCTCAGAGGTTAAGAGCACTGACTGTTCTTCCAGAGGTCCTGAGTTCAAATCCCAGCAACCACATGGTGGCTCAAAACCATCTGTAATGGGATCTGATGCCCTCTTCTGGTGTATCTGAAGATAGCTACTGCTTATTCATGTAAATAAAATAAATAAATCTTAAAAAAAAAAAAAAAGGAAGGGTGAGAGGCACCGCTCTGAGGAGTAGGACTGAGCATGCCAGTTTCTTAAGGGATGGTGGCGAGACTCAATTGTCGGTCTTCAAATATACATATGTTTGATACGCTCTTTTTATGTATGAAATATTTTCAAGGTAAACATTTTTCCACACTGATGGAAACACATTCGTGTCTCTTTTTGTCTTTATTTGACATAGGTGAGCATAGCTACCCCAAAGCAGAAACCAAAAACTCCATTCTGCTTCGGTAAGTACTGAGCCACAGTGTTTTGTTTTGTTTTTTTCTTCATAGACTTGAGATAACTTCTTTCCTGTGGATGACAGTCCTGTGATTCCATGGGAACTGTATTCTGTGTGTATGAGTAGCATAGATAATAGTGATGTTCTCGGTGCCGAGGAATACCCCTGCGAAGATTTTTTAATCAGTTGTGACCAAGCACACAGGGGCCAGTAGAGTTTTAGCCAGGCTGGCTTCTGTGAGCCGTCAGCCTCCTAACCTTCTTCCTTTTCCTCCTTCCCCTTTGCCTCTGCTGCACCCAGACTCCAATGTGCTGAGATTACAGACTGAGCTGTAGTTCTGTTTAAGGTGGATAGGAAGCATCTAGTAGAAGTTTCTGGGAGCCTTCACTTTAGAATTGAGCAGTGATGTACTCGGGACATGATAAAGTCTGGGGAAAAGACAGGGAAGAATTAAAGTGAAGTAAGGGATAGGAAGGGTCTCAAGATTGCCTACTGAGTTGCAGGTTGGGGCTTGGGAGTTAGTGGCAAAGGTACAGAGCCACTCCATCAATGCCTCAGGCCTCTTCTCAGTTGGTCAGTGAAACCGCTCAGTAACTGCATTGTTAACCAGCCGTTACTCTGAGGTAAATGCTGAGGCGTTTCTGTGTCCAGGGAGGCTCTCAGCAGGAGCTTCAGAGAGGCAGAGTCACTTCCTGCTTTGTCACTGCACCTTCTCAGCACATAAGATGCTGCTGGCACATAGTGGGTCCTCAATAAATATTTGGTATATGGATGAAAACGGCGAGTTCTTTGTCTCCTCTGCAATGGCTTCTTGACTTCAGGCTCAGGCCAGAGGGATGAAGTGACTTCCTTCTCCCAACCTCGGGTTGGCGCGCTCTTTTTCCTGTTCCTTCCAAGTATCATTGCTAAGTTTAGAAGTCACTCTTAAACTTTGTGGTCAGCCCGTCTAAAGATATGTTAGTGATAATAATGAAAATCAACCAATCAATCAATCCGAGGTAAGCTGTTGACTAAGGAAATGCCCAGCGGGAAGAGCAGGTTGAAAGCGAGGCCAAGGCTACAGGTCTCAAGCAAATGTAGTTCTATTTTCTAGACACAGATGAGACAAGATCAGACTGGTAGAAGCAAGCCCTAGGGTCCTGAATAAACATACCAGCAGGCCTGTGCTTCAGGTGTCATACTGGTGGCAGATGAGTAGCTTTGTTGCCACCAATTAGCGCATAGAGGCCACTGTTAATGCCAGTGTCATCCTGGTAGCTGATGAATGAATTGCTGGGGTCTGCTGCTTCTGACTTAACACCATGGGTGGGTTCTTGATCTTCTGAATGGCCTTCATGGGTCTTGTCACCTCAGACATCCTAACTTCCTGGGCTCTCATGATCTCCAGATTCTGACCTTCTCTCTCCTTTCCTGTTACTTTTATAGTCATCAACGCCCTGTCTCAGAGATATTTTCTTCAAGCCAATGACCAGAAAGATCTGAAGGACTGGGTAGAAGCACTGAACCAAGCCAGCAAGATCACTGTATGTATACCTTTCGTTCTCTCTGGTAGGGAAAGTGGGGTGTCCCAGCTCTTGACCTCAATGGGGAAGGGGCAGAGCTCAGAGGGTAGCAGGGCCTTGCCTCAGAGCCTGTGAAGTCCCCACTCTCTCTAACCTCCTCTTGCCCATTGGCTGACGAGTACAAGTGAACTTGAGAGTTTGAGTTTGAATCGGATTCAAGAGGAAGTTTCTGGAGTGTCTCTTCTGTGCTTCCTGGGAGGGCTTCTGTCAGTCACATGCTAGGTAATTGTAGGATGCTGCTGATTCAGTGCTGTAGTGTTGGAAAGGGATTGCTGACAAGAAGCACAGGAACGGGGAAAGCCAATGAGAAGGAACTCAGGTCAATTTCTTTCTTCTTTGGGGGATATTCTTCTTAGTTGGGCCTGGAAACGTTTAAGAGCTTTGCAAGCTTTGAAACTTGTCCATGGATTGTGTTAAGGACTCTTGTTTTCCTGGACTTGGCTAATGAAGAATATATTTCCTATTCCTTAGAAATATTAAAAAAAAAAAGAAGAAGAAGAAGAAACAAAGAAAGAAAGAGAGACAAAGATGAGTTAGGGGGGAAAGAAAAAAAATGTGTTACCTTCCCAGCACTGTGACAACCTGCTCAAAACAATCACGTTATAAGAAGGAAAGGTTAATTACAGACTGTGGTTTTTGTCGTTTTGGACCTGTGGTGAGGCAAGATATTAACATGGGAAACCTGTTCATCTCCTAGTGGTTGAGAAGCAGGGAACAAAACAAGAAGGCACTGGGGTCCCAATATTCCCACAAAGGGCGTATGCCCAGTGACCCAACTTTTTCCACTCCACGCCATCTCCTGAAAGTTCCCTGGCGTCCCAATAGGGTCACATGCTGGGGACCAAGCATCTAACATGGGGATGTTTAGTCACAGTAGCAAAACTGCTTTAGGGTAAAAAGGAGGACAATAGTGAAATGAAACTCAGCAAGACAGGCAGAGTCTGGTCTACCACAGTTGCTGAAAACTTAGGAAGTCTGCGTTGTACAGTCAGACATGCTGGTCTTCCCATGACTTTGAATTGAAATGCCCGTCGCTGGGGCAAATTGTTCTTTCAGAAACCTTAAGGTTCCAATGAATATTAGTAGATAAAATCGACGTCTATTAACATCTGTGTCACTGTACCCAAATGGTAAACTGTAGCTACTTAAGCAGGGTGTCAGCTGTTTACTGTGCTGGTGAATGTGCACATAGAGAGGATGAGGCAAGGCCGGTGGGGGACAAGTCTCGCTGTATGCTGTCTCTGGGCTGGTGGTATGGCATGCTACCGCAGACACTAACGGGAAATTAGTGAGGGTGGCTTGAGGAGGCAGTGATAGCATCTTAGGAGTAAAGGACACGACGTTGGAGATCTGTGTTTACTTTATATGTAAAATGGAGACAACCATGCCCCTGAGCTGAGAGGGCGCAGCAGGGAGCTGAACACTCTTCTTGGCACTGGTTGGGCCTTGTTGTGGACTGCCACACATCAGGCCACTGAAGGAGAGGAGAAGGGTGGATTTCTGGGTTGATTTGGAAAGATGGCGGCAGGAAATATGTGTATGTGTGTCTGTTTACACACACATGTACACATACACATGTATATATTCTAACATGCCCTGTTCATTTTTCTGACTCCTTGTTTTGCTGAGGATTCTTTTGTTCAATCTTAACTACTAGCGTATAAATGAATGTCAAGAGGACAGGGCTCATGCCTATTCTGTGCTTTCTAACTAGGGTTAGCTCATCCTGTAGATATGCAGTAAGTTTGTTCTGTGTGTATGTTATGTATCTGTATGTGTGTGTGTTATGTCTATGTGTACATGCATATGTGTGATATACATATGTATTGTATATGTCTTTGTGTGTAAGCATGTGTGTATATGTGTGTGTATAGGTGTATGCATGTGTATCTATGTGTATGTCTACTGTGTATATCTATAGGTATGTGTATGTATGTGTATCTATGTGTCTGTGTGTATATGTGTACTGTGTATATCTATATGTATGTGTATGTATGTGTATCTATGCCTGTGTGTTATGTGTATGAGTGTATCTTTGTGTGCATGTATATATATATATATGTGTGTGTGTATATGTGCCTGTGTGTATATATATGTGTATATGTGTGTGAATATATGTGTGTTAATGTGTATGTGTGTATATTTGTGTGTGTCTGTGTGTGTCTGTATGTATGTCTGTGTTTGTGCATGTATGTATATAGTATATGTATCTATATACGTGTATTTGTGTATATATATGTATGTGTGAATATATGTGTGTATATG